TCATTTCCTTTGATAACGAGGTCATTATCTTTACAAAACACCCCCACATTTTAAGTAGTTGCAGGAAAGTTTTATATCATTCATAACTCGTATGGTGTTTTGTCTCTTTTATTTTGGGAATCTTATTTAAAAGGAAATTTTTTGAAAGAACAACTTTCCTCAACATGTCATGTAATAACTCAAAACTTCCTAGCATTTTATCATTTCCTTTTAAGGTTCAATTCTTCCACTTTACTACTCCATTTAATTTAGGAGAGTATGATGGTGTTACTTCATGAACAATGACATGTTGTCGAACAAAATTCACTAAATGGTTTAACGTATTCACTACCACGATCAATTCTCACCATCTTAATCCTTTTATTAAGTTAGTTTTCGACTTTTAGTTTATAGAGAATAAATTTCTCCATAGATTCATTTTTGCTCTTAGCAAATATATAACAATACTTTTTGCTATCACCAATGAAGGCAATAAAACAATTATTCTCAATTGTTTGTGCTATCATTATGAATTAAATAACTAGGTCACTAAAATTTCCTTAGTGCTAGTATCTTTCATGTCATATTTATGATCTAATATCACCCATAATTCTTTAGCATTTTAAACATTGTACACTTCATAGTGTGCATCAATAAACTTTGAGAATGTGATTACATCATAGAAAAACATAGTTTTTCCATGATTTGATTTGAGACCTCGGTCTAAATCAACGCTTTAAATTTTGTTGAACATAATTAGTAATCAATGTTACTTTCAGTAACAATTTCTATTAAACAAATTTGTTCATAGAATATTGAATAAAGCATATTTATTCAGATTACATCTTGTTTGAAAAAAATAGATTTATTTACAAGATCTCATTTTACAAACATATCAAGATTCCAAAGAAATAAATTTAACGATTTATTTGTTTTTAAAAATAAAATCATGCTTGATTCTTAATAAATAAATTCAACGATTTAATTTATTTTACAAAATAAATAGGCTCATATAAAATTCTACGAAAATAAATTCAATAATTTATTTCATCCTATAAAATAGAATCGTTCAAGATTTCTAAGAAAATAGATTTTGACGATTTATTTCTTGTTTTACAAATCAGAATCATATAAGGTATACAAAAAAAATTCAACGATTTATTTCCTTCTACAAAACAAAATCATTCAAGCTTCATAAGAAAATAAATTCAACGATTTAATTTTCTTTTTACAAAATAGAATCATTTAAGATTCCTAAGAAAATAAACTCAACAATTTATTTTCTTTACAAAGTTAGAATCAACACAATATTTTAAGGTAAAATAAATCTAGTAATTTTATTTTCCCTTTTTTCTAGTGCATCTTCTGTTAAATGACGAAATTAATAGCACTAAAACCAGAAACAAATATATCAAGGCAACCTGATTCTGCTTAACAACCAGAAATAAAAGGAATTAATCAATTAATTTTGACAACTCAATAATCAAAAGGAACTAATCGTTTGGTTTTGACAACCAACTATTCAAGAGCCTTTGATTAAACTTTGAATTTGTCTGTATCTATAAAATTTTTCAAAAGAAATTAATAGTACAAGAATGGATGCTTACATGCATTTTCTATAGGTGAAATTTTACCATAATGATATTACCAAATAATACCATAATATAGCAAGAATCACATTGATTCTTTACTTTTGATTTTATTATCCGACAAAATTAATGTTTTGAAATAAAAGCATAAACTAATGTTACTTTAACTATAATTTCTATTAAATAGATTTGATCACTTTGGAATTAAGAAAATTTGTTAAAACGACATGATAAATATTGAAAATAGATTTATTTACTATCTCAATTTTCTCATGATTTTTGAATCGTCTTGGATTAAAGGAATGCAGAGGAAATATTAAAATTATGTCTAATGATTGTTATAAAATAATAACCACCCTAGACGAAAATCAAACATCAAAAAATAAAAATAAAGGAAGTTAAAATCATTAAAAATGAAATAAAATTGAATAGAAAGAAAATAATATTTTAATTGATATATCAATTGAAAATGAGTTGAGGCCTATCGCAAGACAATTTTCTTAAGATAGATTTTCGGCCACTCCTTGATACTCAAGATCGTTGGTTATCTGTCTCCCATGATACAACTAAATGATCGACGTAAAATCATATAACTGTCGAGATCATGAACTATCCTTTGTCTATATCGTAAAACTAGAGAAAGATGGAAAACAATTTTCAAGATTTTTGAAGTTCCTGAATTATGAGATGTCTTTAACCTAGAAGGTTAGCACTGTAACACACCAAATTTTCCTCAATCTCAAACCCTAAAATTTGGGAATTTATTTTTTTCGAATACGTAAAATTGAGTTTAGGACCTAATTGAATTTGTAGAAATATTTGTGACTTTTTTACAAAATAAGGAAACTTACGATTCATTTCAAAATCCCTAAGGAATTGGAGTACCAACCTTGTGATTTACTCTTTTTCCCTTGTACCACAATTCTAAGTCTGTTTTAAAATTCTATGACGCCGCTCCTTCACTCTTTTCTTTTATTTTCTTCTTCCATGTGCTCCCGTCTCTTCCCATGAAACTCACCGCTCAAGACTTGCTTTCGAACTAATCTCAGCACACCACACTTGGTTCTGTTTTGATTAATGCTGGAACTTGGGATGAGGAAAAAAACCTTAATAGTTGGGCTACGGCAGACCCTTTTGCATCCATGCTCCGGCCGTATTTAGTAACGGCAAGGTGACCAGGAGTGCCGCCGATCAACCGGGTTGCTGTCATTGGGACCCTTCGTCGGTAGTACGTTCGTGGCTGAACTGACAGCCCTATTTTCTGTTACTACTTGCCCTCAATCGAACTATAACCATGTTGTCTGGTTCTTTTTGGTTTGAATATTTATTTCTAAATGTCGTTTTAACACTATTCAAAAACTTACGTTATTGCTGATTAATACGAACGATCGTACATGTAGGAGACTTTGACTCAGAACTGGAATTATCGCCCCGCCATCTCTACCCGCTAATTTTTTACCAACTTGTATAGGAGTTGATTCGCGAGTGAGTATTAGTGTAATACGTTACTTCGAGTAATTTATTTTGATTGGTTAGTTAGAATAGTGATTTGGTATGACTTTTTGGTATAATAGTTGATTCGGTTCGACCCATTAATACTATATAGTTGACAGTGCGAGACATCATTTTTGTCAGTAGAGTTATTTTCTTGAGGTGTGTAGTGTTACATTTTATTTGTGAATTATCTGGTTATCTAATATATTTTGTTGATTGTGATGTAACCCTTGATTGTCTAATTTATGGTTCGGTATTTGTTTTGTGAAATATGATATTATGCCATATATCACAAAATAATATATGTTAAGGTTGTTTTGTTGGACAAATTTTTGTTATGTGAAGCATGTTGATTTATTGAATTCGGATTTAATACTATGCATTCAAAGTATGTGATTATGTAAATAATTTTACATTAGGATCAAATCAGAATTCAAATATATATATATATATATTCACTCGATGGGGTGAATGTCATTTCAGATTCAATGGTTTATGTCTTTGTGACGGACCCTACTTCAGATGGTGTGTTATAGTTAGAGTGGTTTTGGGAACTTATTATTCATATGGTGTGTAATGCGTATGGGTGCATTTACATTTGCATTTCATTCGGACTATGAATATTATGACTTGGATTGTGAATATGTTTTTAATTTGAACTTGTTTATCTGATTGCACATTACAGACACATTAAACTTAATAGTTTACTCCCTTATAATTTTTATTTCAGACACTCAGAATAAAGTGATCCGGTACTTGGAGAGTTTCATTATTTATTTTTAGATAAATTATTATTTCAATATGATATTTTATTCTACATTTCCTTTATCGGCCTTTTGTTAATTTTTTTGAATTATTATTTTTGTAAATGGGACTTTGGTCATCACTATTATTATTATTTTGAACTGTTTAAGCATGCATTTACTGATATTTATTTATTTTATTACTTGAAAAATTTTAGTTTTTGATATTAATAAATTATGAGGTTTGAGATATTTCTAAGTTTTTAAATGGTAATTTTTAACATATTAAATCAAGCATGGTTTCTTGAGGGAAAAAGGTTTCGATTGGATCCCTAGATGGACCTATTTTATCTAGATTGGTTTAAGGAGGTTACAAACACACTATTTATAGGAATTTCTCATAGAAGAATTTCCAAAAAAATAGTGTTATTCATTAGTATTCAAACTCTTAAAATATAATATTTTTGATAGATAATATCTTTTAATTTGAAATATTTAAAAAATATATTAGATACTTTTTAATATTTAAATTTGAAAAGATAATAAATGTCTTTTAATTAGAGATATTTAAAAGGATATAATTATCTTATTAATATTCAAATTTAAAGAGACAATAAATATATTTGAATTTATAATATTTAAAAAGATATTAATTAATTTAATTATTAAATATATCAATGAATTCAATTCATTTTTCTAATATTTTTTAATTAATCCGATTCATTTTCAAATACTTTTCTTCTAAGAATTTTAAGATACCTATGATAAACTAGTTCTAGAAACTGAAGTCATAATTACGAAGCATACAAAAATTATCAAAATTGAAATTGGAAGAATTCATCAATTTTTTCTTTAATTTATAATAGTGTTAAATATTTACATATTTTTAAAATTTATTAATTTTTTCTTGAAGATCTTGTAAGCATCTTTTGATTCCTCACTGTTAATCTCATTTATTTCCAATAATCAAACGGTCTTAAAAGGATATAAAATTAAAAAAATTACAATGTATAAATGAATCATAACCCCCTCTCTCCCTATATATAAAAAACTTACATAGATTATCTCCATCTTTCGGTTTATCTTATGAGCGATGATAGTTCCGAAGCTACTTATTGTACAAGTTACCATTTCCCCCCTCTTAATTTGCAGAGTATAAAGTTGAATCAGTAATGGGACTCAATCAATGCCAATCTGGGGACAGTTGCTGAATATATATATAAATATAGCAACTAGTAGAATTTTTTTTGGGAGGTTGGGAATTTATATTATCCCATTTCTCAGAAATAATAAACGACAGGGTTTTTTAATGAACACTTAAACGAGTAATGTTTGTGGCTCACCCGAAAGGGACCGAGGCACTTTTATTCTCAGCGTCGTGGCTACATCTAGTTGCTCTCCCTACCGACACTCATTTCGCCACTGCCAACAATTACAACTTTGCTCTTGGGCGTGCCGCTCAGCCTTCCTTCGGCTTCGATTTCGTAAACCACATCCATCCCCGAGAGCACTTTTCCAAACACAACATGTTTTCCATCCAACCTGTAGAAAGTGCAAGTTTAAAAGGATGAAGTATATAACATCTAAACCGGCTGCAAATTCCTATTTACCAGCTGGTAGTCACGGTTGTAATGAAGAACTGTGAGCCGTTGGTGTCGGGACCGGCATTCGCCATGGACAAAACCCCTTTACAAAACAAACAATTTTTGCTTTATCACTGTCGTTCCTTGAAAAGAAAAAAAAAGTTGTGCATTTTGACTCTTTTACAGTCTGAACATGGCTGGCTTACCAGGCCCTGTGTGCTTCAGCTCAAAATTCTCATCGGCGAATTTCCCACCGTAAATCGACTCTCCGCCCCTTCCATCACCGAGTGTAAAATCACCTCCTTGTATCATGAAATGCGGAATAATCCGGTGAAATGTACTGCCTTTGTAGTGGAGAGGTTTCCCCCACTTTCCTATACCTTTTTCTCCTGTAATCGAAAACCCTGTTAGGCTTTTCATCGAACACATATAAGACACAGTTGAGATCAGTCACTTGACCTGTGCAGAGTGCTCGAAAGTTTTCTGCATATAAAATGAAGCTCAAGGTGATTAGCAAACAATTGGTAGGAAAATCACAAAAGATACAAACATTAAGACATCGATATGATCTGAAAACATACCGGTTGTTTTAGGAACCATGTTCCCAAAGAGTCCCATGACGATTCGACCTGATCGAGCGATAAACTCAGTAATATTTTAGCTAATCTAAACTACAGGCATTATCCTAAAGAAAGAGAAACCGAGAGCATACCGGCAGGTTTTCCTGCAATTTCGACATCTAAGTAAACTTGGTGAGTAACTTCTTTCAAATCATCCTTCGACTGTTCTGCCTGAACATTCCATAAAAAAAGGAAAACTCAATAATCAAAATCAACTATTTGATTCACAGATCAAGCACCCATTAATATACAGAACATAGAACTGAAGGGGAAAAAATACCTGGGTGAGTGTTAGAGATCCAAAGAGGACCAAAGTGAAAAAGAGCAATCTTGATCTCTCCATCACTTTGCTCACTTTAATATAAAGATGGAGAAACTAAGAAGCTCTTTCTAGTTTTTATCACTGCAAATTGAAAAAGAAGGTTGTCGGTGATGACAACCAACGGGTATTTGCCACATGGTTTTAATTATTGTTTTATTATTATTATCTTGATTTGAATACCATTAAAATAGTGACTGAAAATATTATAAAAAATATAATATTTTAAGTTTAACGTAATATAAAATATTATATTATTAATATATTTTTAGTTAAATAAAAAATGTTATCTTTGAATAATATTTTAGATTGTAATAGAAAATATTATAAATACTATAATATTTTAAATTGTGTCCAATTTAAACTTTTATTTTTTTATAATATTTTTAATTGTCTTCATCATTTTAACCTTAAATTAGGTTATTTTTCCCCAAAGTTCTTCGATTTTGTTTATGTAATATTTGTTAAAATCATGAGCTCTTTCTATGATTTTTATGCACGTTAGATCAATGAAGGATTTTTCAGTGATTAATACTTTTAAATAATTTGAGATGATTATAAAATAATAATTGTTTAAAATATATTTTAATCATTATTAATGTATATATATCATGTAAATGCAATTATCTAATCCAAAATCTTTAAGCAAACAACCCTCTATTTAACTATATATACTTAAAAATGTCAAAATTAGCTTATAATATTTCCTTCTGTATTAGGGTTTTGCTCTACCATTTGGCTCGTTTATCCTTCTGCTCGTTGTGGCACTTTTATGAGATTTCTCAGTTTTTGCTAGTGGTGGATTCTGGGTTAACCTTTTCGAAATAGGTGATCTAGAAAGGGAATTATATGATATAAGGATAGAAGATGAGGAGGATGAGGGTTTGGTTCTGATAAATACGGAACAGGAGGCGCATATTTCATATACTTTCTGTTTCGTTGATAAGTTATTGACTACAAACCAAATCCGATTGAAGGTATATCGATCACTGATTTGGGAGAGAATATGCACCTTTTTCGTTTATACAATGAGATTGATTTTTCTCGAATTGTTTTAGAGAGTTATGGTATTTTAATTCGCATCTCTTAGTTTTTCATTTTCTGGAGGAGAGGGAGAATCTGATGTATGTTTGCTGAATTGGGTCGATTTTTGGGTTCTTACTGGTGATTTGCTGGTTAGATTCATATCAGAACAAGTTGCGAAGCAATTGGGTGACTTTGTGGGCACATTCGTGGAGTATGATGCTTCAACAATCACTTTGGGGTACATGGGATGTATTCAAGTCCGAGTGAAAATTGATGTTTGTAGGGCATTGAAATGAAGGAAGAAGCTTGTTATTCCATCTGGTGAGTCGGCTTATGCCCTGTTTCAATACAAAAAATTAAAGTTGTTATGTTTTCTATGCGGAAAGCTTGGGCATGGAGAAAGTTATTGTCCGTTGCGGGTATTGCAAGAAAATAAGGAAGTGGTAGCACAACAGTATGTATCCTTGCGTGCACCTCTCAAACGTCGAACGATTTCAAGTAGCCCTCGTTGAAAGAAGATTCGTTGGAAGAGGAAGTGAAGAAGGGAGAAGGAGGGGAGTCGGGTGTAGACAAATATGGGCAAGAGAACGTTGTTAAAAATAGTTAGAGGTGGCTAAGAAGAAAGGCAATTGTGAAGGAGGGAGTAATCCGAAATTTAGACATTGTTATAACTTCGGTAAAAGAGAATCACACGCTAACAAAGATGGATGGGTCGAAGAGGAAGATGAATGACTTATCATACGAACCTAGTAATATTGGTCTGGTGGATAAAACAAACAATTTATCGACAGACCTGCATTTTCAGGTTGGCCTGATGCAATGAAGCTCATAAGCTGGAACGTCCGGGGTTTGGGTATCCCCCAGACGGTGTGCCATCTCTGGTTCATACTTAGAGACATAAACCCGTTTGTGATCTTGTTGATGGAGATCAAGTTACAGAATTTGAGTATGGAGAAGGTTAATAATTATTGGGGGTTATACAAATGGAATTGGTGTGGAACCTCAAGGTACTCGGGGAAGCCTTTTTTTGGCATGGAAGCAAAATTGTAGAGTTATTTTGCATTCTTTTTCTTTGTCACATATTGATGTTAGTGTTTCAGATAATGTGGATGGCCCTGCATGGTGATTCACGGGTTTCTATGGTGCTCTTGACGGAGGTCGGCGTCAGGAGTCTTGGGATTTGTTTTGTTGTTTAAATGACTATGTGAACAAGTTATGGATGTTGATCGGGGACTTCAATGAAATCATGCATGTTTATGAGAAAAAAGGTGGCGCAGTTCAGACAGAGAGACAAATGCAAATATTTTGAGCTATAGTTGATGCCTGCAACTTACGGTATGTTGGATATAGTGGAGTCTGGTATACTTGGGGGAGAGGGAGGAAAACGAGAAATAATGTCAGAGAACAGCTTGATAGGGGTTTAGCTAATAAAGCATGGTTGTCTCTTTTTCCTCATTATTCCCTTTGTCATCTTCAGCATTCAATCTCTGATCACTGCCCCCTCTTAATACATATGGTTACTGCAAAACTGATAACCCGTTGTTACGATTTTAAATTTGAAGCTTCCTAGTTGCTTGAGGAGTCGTGTGAGGAGGAGGTTAGTCGCTTGTGGAACATTGGGTCAGGTACGGTGTTGGAGAAGTTGTATGACGTAAGTCTGGGGTTGGATCAGTGGTTCAAAAATTTATGTCATTCTAAGCGCTTAACGATAAGATATTTACAAAGGAAATTTGTGCATTTAACCAAATATCCCCTTCTGATGAGGTACTAGGGGAGATCGTTGATGCCAAATTGCAGCTAAATCTGGAAGCAGATAAATCAGAACTAAATTGGAAACAACTGCTAGAGTGAATTGGCTCCGACATGGTGATAATAACATTACTTTCTTCCATAGCTACAACACTTCCCAAAAAGGGAAGAATAAAATTTTCGGCCTCGAGTAGAATGGTGGTTATTTATTGGATTCCGAGTTGGCCATGGCTGAGCTTGTAAAAAATTATTTTTTTTACTTAATTTATTCGAGTAGTGTTATTGTTGATATGAATTCCTAGCTGAGTTTGGTTTTCACTAGGGAAGAGGAATTAAGGGCTGTTAAGACAATGTCTCCTCTAAGGGGTTTGGGAGATAATGGTCTTGGTGCCATTTTTTACCATGAAGTAGCTGACTTCTGTATAGATTTGATCCATGGCAGGGCGAGCATGGAGGAAGTAAATAAAACCAATACTGTGTTAATTCCAAAAGTGGAAGCTTAAACCTCCTTGAATCATTTCAGACAAATCAATTTATGTAATGCGATTTACAATATTGTTGTGAAGGTGTTGATTAATCGAATGTAACTGTGTCTAGATGCATGCATTGGTAAGGCGCAAAGTGTATTTATTCTGGGTCGTCTGATTTCAAATAATATCATCATAGCCTACTAGTTATTAAACTCGTTTGTGAAGAAGATAATGGGAAGAAAAGGTTATTTTGCTTTAAAACTCGACATGAGCAAGGCTTAAGATAGAATGGAGTGAGCCTTTAGATGGACAGTCATGGAAAGGGTGGGATTCAATTTAGGTTGGATTAAAATCTTGAAGCATTATGTGTGTTCGGTGACTTATTCGATAATCATTAATGGAGTCGCAGGATATCGCATCCAACTTAGTCGGGGTTTGCGCCAAGGAGATCCGCTCTGTCCTGACATTTTTCTTATTTGCAGTGAAGGTCTGTCATCTCTTATAATGAGAGTTATTTTTCGGGAAGAGCTTCGGGGAGTTAAGATTAATCGATATGCTCCAAATATCTTTCATCTCTTTTTGCTGATGATAATCTCCTCTTTGAAAATTAAAGAACTTCTCAAGATATATGAGGAGAGTTCGGGTCAAGAGAAAATTTTGACAAATCAAGGATTTCTTTAGTACAAATGTAATTGAGGAGAATCATCGGGACGTTCAAGGTATATTGGAGGTCTCAAATATTTCAAACACAGAGAAGTACTCGGGTCTATCGAAAATTGTTGAATGCAACAAGAGAGGTGTGTTTACGCATCTAAAACATAATTTACACAACCGAATCAGAGGATGGAGTGTCTGGGTTCTATCACAGGGAGGTAAAGAGATTTTCATAAAGTATGTGTTGCAATTATAAGAGGGTTTATACTTCCCAAGAGCTTTTGCAGTGAATTAGAAAGTATAATGGCCCGATTTTGGTGGCAAAAGTCTGTAAACAAGCGATGAATTCACTGGTGCTTGTAGAGAATGCTTTGTCAGTCGAAAGATGATGGTGGGCTTAGGTTTCATGATATGGCTAAATTTAATTTTGCTATTCTGAGAAAACAATGATTGAGATTATTTTCTAATCCTATGTCTCTGGTTAGTAGATTGATTCAAGCTAAGTATTTCCCCATGACCCATTTTATGCGTTCAAAGCTTGGTTCAGTCCCTCTTATATTTGGCACAGTATTTCGAGTGATAGGGGCCTTCTTGAGAAAAGACTGCGATGGAAAGTCGGGAACGACATTTCCATTTCAGTCTGGAATGATTTTTGGTTACTAAACAACCCTTTCAGCTTTGTTAATTCTGATCGTGACGATGTTGTTTTATTAGTTTACAATCTCATTGATGAGAGAACTAGATCCTGGAAATTTGATGTGGTTAATGGTATTTTTTCTCAGGAGGAAGCGAATCAAATTTTAAGTATTCTGTTATCCAGATTTCCTCAGGAAGATACACAGGTCTGGAGTGGTGAGAAGTCAGGTTTATTTAGTGTTCAGAGTGGGTATCGTTTACTTACTATTGGAGACAATCCGATTCAACGGTGATAGAGTATACAGGAAGGTGTGGTCATGTCCATGTCAAAGAAAGATTAAGTTGCAGATCTATAAGTTCATTCTAGATTTTGTTCCAACTATGAAGAATTTATTCACTCGTCGAATATCAAACAATCCACTTTGCTGGAGGTGTATAAATGTGGTTGAGTCAGAGGTGAATGTGGCTAGGGACTGTGGCATGACTAAGGAGGTTTAGGGTGAGTTAGGTTATCAATGGCCTACCCAAGTC